GAGAGCGTCGATTCTTCCTCCTCAAAGCCGCTCCTGTCGATGATGACGAGGACTCATTTTATCTTATGTGCCGTTTCAATTTCATGTAACCAAGCAACTCATCATCCTTCATGTGCAAGTAGACCTTACAGTTTATGGCTTTATCAAACAAGCTGACACTTAGAGAGAGCAGGTTTGTAAACATATATTAAAGTCTTAAATACAAAAGGGAGCGTGGGACTTACTCGATGATGTCGTTGATGGTTTGGCTGATGATTTGCTTCACTCTCTCGGTGGTCCTCCTCGCCATTCCCTGCAGTCCTATACTGAACGACGCCTCTTTGGTGCTGCCGTCATATCTGCAGAACACAACATTTCAGAACAATGCAGTACTCTGAGCGCTGTCTGCAGCACATGAGGCAGAGCATCACAGCTCAGCAGCAATATACTAAAATGTTAAATTATTTTTAATAGACATTTCTAAAAGAAAGTTGTCATCTAAGTAGCTTAGCAAAATCATATAGATGAAAACCCGTCTTTAAAGAGTAACTAAACCCCCAGAGTACAAAGTATCTAAATTTAAATTCCACATTTTGTGTTAGAAATATGCATAGCTACGGCCCTCTACAGGTTGAACCCAGCTACTGCAATTACATTCTTCTATTGGCTTATCTGGTGTTTAGAGAATTGCATGGATTGACAATAACTGAAATCTTAGCGGCTGGCTGTAAAATATTTACAAACGTGCCAAAATGAGGATGTTTATTTTAAAACATTAGAGCCATAACATTCAAATCCTCCAGGGGGCATCATCCCCATCCTCTCCTGCCCTCTCTGTCGTCTCCATCGGCTGTCTCAGCACTGACAGATCAAATGGTTCTGGACCGTCGTTGAGCCTCTGGATCAGAGAAGTCCTCCACATTAAACCAAACTTCTGTCCTCGCTGCTTCTCCAGCCGTCGCTCTAAATAACCTCTGAGCTTGCTGATCATTTTATTTGTGAGAGTTTGTTACTTTGCGTCCTGCGTACTCACCCTACAACAGAGGAGAAGTCAGTTCCTATATTGGGTTCGATGAGAGCTTGTAGAAGGGAGAGTTGGTCCAGAGATCATGAGAGACGACAGCAGGCTGAGGGTGAATCCTTCAAATGTGTCAGTGATGCTGCGCGGGGAAAAAAACAAAGAGATTTTAAATATTTCTGAACAATAGGACTCGCTAAAAACTTCACTTTGAATGAAGAGAATTGTTGAGTGAATCCTTTCTGTACTGTAAAGCTCTCAGTCTTTAAAAAAGCCGTCGACATGACAACCAAGATGTAGTGAATAAAGAGGAGGATGGAGGCTCTTTATGGCTTCTCCCATCTTAATGCAAAATAAAAAGAAATGATTTTCGGTCTTACTCTCCCAGCAGGTAGCTCACACACAGCGTGTTCTGCCGGGCCGGATCCGGAGCCAGAGCGTCAGGGCTGCAGGTCACATGGTCCTCTCTCTGGGGAAACCATTGAGATTCACGACGACATCAAAACGACTAATCAATGCATTTCAGTGTGTTAATATAAAAGCATGCAATAATAAACAGCTGTTGAGCTTGTTGGTGTAGTTTTTAAGATCTATTGATCAGTAGAAGTACAGATGCTGGTCTGGATTATGACACTCACAGGGCTGCTCCAGTGTGGCTGGGGGGACCTCTGTGTTCGGGTTGATGCGTTCAAACTTGGACAGAGCTTCCTCTTCGATCTGCTTCAGATGCTGCTCCAAAGGCAAATCTCCATACGTGAAGAACCTGAGGAGCACATGGAGGACACTCTCAGGGGTGTTTTCTGAGCAATTTTAAAGCCTGCATGTTAAATTATTTTTAAGGAATTATGATCATTCTGAAATAAATAAGATCGATAAAGCATGAAAAGACAAACTAGCATCAGTTACCATCAAATTATTTCAAGTCCTGTGTTTCATATCTACTGTGTCAATGTGAGCCTGCATCGTTCTGCTGCAGGGATTATTAAATGTAACAAAGAAAGGATTCTGCTGGCTAACACCTGCTCTCATCTCATTTCTTCACAGCACTTTACAGTTTCCTGTCCCTTCTAGGCTCACAGTGTACACGCGTGTGTGTCCATGTACCTGGCGTTGCTGGGGTGGTAATGCGTGGCGTGGAACTGCTTGAGCTGTTCCCAGGTAAGGTCAGGGATGGCTAGAGGCTCTCCTCCTGACACCACAGAGTACGTGTGGTCTGGATACAGCTTGTTCTGGAGGTGCTGGGCGTACACGCGCTCGTTGTCAGACTAATAAAAAACACACAATCAAACGTTTAACAGTCACTGACACACTCTTATTTCAAAACCATTTATCTGACGTCACCTGTTCATCTCATATCTGGAACTTGTTTCACTGCTGTTGCATTAGGCCCCATGTCCGCCTAGCATTTTTTTTTTTGTTAGCTTTTTCTGAGTGTCTTTGTTCTATTGTTCCCAATGAGGAGAGAGCGTTTGCAGCAGCAGCAAAGCGCAGCGTCCAGCGCCTTTCTTCCGAGCGCTCTGCCTAATTTGTGCAGCCGCTCCGAGCGCTTCAAACTAAAAATCAACGCCGCTGTTGACGTCACCGGCGCTTTTCTTTCAACCAGCCGATCATAAAGTTCATCATCTAGACAAAGTAGGAGGTCAAGCATCCTCCGTTTGTGGCTCAAAGTGACAGATAAAAAATATCAAACAGAGAAAAGCAACGGAGCTGTGTCGGTCATACAGAGCTGTTGTCAACAGACTGTTGTCATAGAGACAGGACGGACAGCAGCAGAAATATGAGATATCTGAAGCTACTTAAAAGAACACTTTACTATATTGTATCTACGTGTAGAAAGGTGACTTGGAAAGTGTAGACTTACAAAAGCCCCTTTCATTTCATTGAACACCACTCCTTTAAAGACCAGAGGGGAGTTGGGATCTGTTGGGTTTTCATTCTCCAGCCTCCAGCCCTCCTGCCTGCAAAATCAACACAAACAGAAATGAACTAGTGAAGAGCAGATTTCATCAGCGACTGTTTCAAACAAGTGATATCAGAAAGGTCTTGGACTCTTTTAGGCTGGCTACACACTCGACAATATTCAGATCTTAACCTATTTAAAAAACGTGGGAGACCAAAGACATAAGGACAGCTAAATGATTCTAAACATTATAATCCTCCGACTGCACACACTAGACGATTTGACCCGACTGTGAGACCACACACCTGCAGTTTGTAGAAACGAGTTCACAGTGGTGATCCCACAGACACGAGATCTCACAGAAACTTGTGTGATGAAACGTGACTTCAGAAGAAAAACAAATATGGAAGACAGTCGAGACATTAAAAAGCCACTCATGTTGTTACTCAAGCTGCTCTTCTTTTTCTATATTCCTCTTGGCTCAGGGCACAGTTATGTTTGTGTTCACTGGCATGTTTGTGAGCTGTAAAAGTGATGCTCTCTTCGCTCTCTTTTTGGCTACTGCAGGTATTCAGTCGGAGGCAGCCCGATCTGGAATGGTAAATATCAAACATGTTTTTGTATTTAGGATTCCAGATCGGGGAGGCTCTGACTCGATCAGGAGCTGTAAAATAAACGTATTGACACCACACACTTGAAGATTATTTGGACAAATAAAAGGCCCAAAATCAGGCCTAAACTCCCCTAGTGTGAAGCCAGCCTCAGGACAAACAGTCCAACTAACAGAGTTAACAGCTGACTATAAAGACAAAATCTTCACTGAATATTTAAAATTTGACTTTTGCTACAATGCTATCAAGTCAAATAAATACAAACATGAAACAAATATGAGAAGCAGCAGTCACGGCTCACCAGAAATCCTGCTCTCGTAAACACGGGAAGAAAGCTGCATCCAGATAGACCGAGAGAAGATTCTGGAAGTCTTTTCCATTTTGGGTTGAGAACGGATACATGGTGTAGTCACTGGCTGTTTACGAAGGGAGGCAACAACAACAAAAACATGTCAGACATAAAGCTCATCAGCAAGCCAAGAATTAAGAAACAATCATCTGAAAGTCATTTTCTCTTCTAAAACTGACCGGTAAAACTATTAAAAGATAAGCTTCAATCTGTTTATGACTTCAATCTGAGGCGAAGTATGTCTAAAGACAACATCAATGATCTGCTTCAATCATCGGTTTGACCATCTGATAGTCAAAAACAAGGAATAAAGGTCAGGTCAATGTATTTAATCCAGTATGTGAACCACCAGTATGTGAAAACACCTCTTCCAATGGTGGTGAAGTTCAGTGGAACCCTGAAAAACATACACAGATGAAACACAAATTTAAACTTCTGCGTACTATTTTATTGTACTTTTGTATGAATTCTCCAAAGTCTAACCTCTCGATTGCAGCATTACGTCTTTTATGAATCTGTATGTTGTTGTTTGTTTGTACACTGTCTGTGTTGTCTTCTCCTTAAAGAGCACAAGAAATCTTTTTTCAGTTATACAAAACAGCTCTATGAAACTGTAGATTTCAGAGGAAACCAAACATGAAGCTTTTCAATGTTTGCTTCAACTATTGTGAGCTGTAAGTTATTTAAAAACATCATGTGGTTGTTCAATGTTGTCTTTTAATCTTCACTGCACGATAAAACTCAGACTGACAAACTCACACTGTCCCTTTAAGAGAATTCATCACATGAGTGAGGGCAGCATGGTAACCCCTCCCTATTGCTCAACTCCACTCTGTGCACACATTTCCTTGTTCCCTCTCCTTCACTAATATACAAGTGCAAGAGCTCCCCAGCCCTGTGCAGCGTGGATCAGCAAATGAGCAGCGACAAAAGGACACTGAGGTATTTTTTGTCGGTGTACTACTTCTACTACATATTCAAATTCTTCCATTACTTGTAATCAAACCGACTTTTGCAAGGGGAGGCTTTGTAAATTAAAGCAGCAGTAGGAATCAGTAGGTTTGTATTTGAAACAGGATTATGACTTCAATCTGAGGCGAAGTATGTCTAAAGACAACATCAATGATCTGCTTGATCATCAGTTTGACCATCTGATAGTTAAAAACAAGAAATAAAGGTCAGGTCAATGTATTTAATCCAGTATGTGAACCACCAGTATGTGAAAACACCTCTTCTAATGGTGGTGAAGTTCAGTGGAACCCTGACGCCTCCCTGTGGTGTCTCAGATTTTCACAGCTTGTAATGCTGCTGCTCACAGGTAGCTCTGTTCAGACAGTAGTTGTAGAAACAGTTCAGTTATTCTCTGTGTTTTATTAAATTATGTTAGGAAATGTGTGACTAGAGTTTTTTACATGCTTGCTTATAGAGTTTTCTTCCATGCAACAGAGAGTGGTTATGTATTCATGTTGAGAATCTGCCTGGTCAGAGGCATGAAACATGAGTCAGAGCTTGTTAACCCCTCCCTCTTCTTCCTGCTCTCAGACACAGCCAGCTCCACTCTGACGTTTATTTTCTTGTTCCCTCCCCTTTAGATCTACAGTTTGAGGATGGGTGTAACCAACATGTGGGACGGTGCAAGAGCAGACACTGAACAAACACATGCTGTGTAGATCAGAGATGAAACTACTGATTTCAAAGGAAGTGAAACTCAGACAGTCGTCGTTACAGAGAGGAGAAATGGCGCAGAAAGGAGTTCAACTAGACCGGGAGGCCTTCTCTTGTTCCATCTGTCTGGATCTCCTGAAGGATCCGGTTGCTATTCCCTGTGGACATAGTTACTGTATGAACTGTATTAAAAGCCACTGGGATAAAGAGGATGAAAAGACAATCTACAGCTGCCCTCAGTGTAGGCAGGACTTCACACCGAGGCCTGTCCTGAGGAAAAACACCATGTTGGCAGATTTGGTGGAGAAGCTGAAGAAGACTGGACTCCAAGCTGCTCCTGCTGATCACTGCTATGCTGGATCTGAAGATGTGGCCTGTGATGTCTGCACCGGGAGGAAACTGAAAGCTTATAAGTCCTGTCTGCAATGTTTGGCCTCTTACTGTGAGAAACATTTTCAGCCTCATTATGAACTACCTGTCTTTAAGAAACACAAGCTAGTGGAGCCCTCCAAGAAGCTCCAGGAGAACGTCTGCTCTCGTCATGATGAGGTGATGAAGATGTTCTGCTCTCACACACAGAAGATCACAACCAGTTTCTACACGACTACCCCTCACTGTCACCCCTCAGTGAATCTACACACTCATCCAGCATCAAGATTCGTCCTCTGAGGTACTTTGAGGATGTGACAGCGGCTGTGTCAGAATTCAGAGATAAACTACAGGACGTCCTGAGAGAGAAATGGACAAACATCTCACAGACAGTGACTGAAGTGGATGTTTTACTATCAGAGCCACAGCCCAAGACCAGAGCTGATTTCTTAAAATACTCATGTGACATCACACTGGATCCAAACACAACATCCAAGAACCTGTTATTATCTAAGGAGAACAAAGAATCAAAATTCTCGAGTAAAAAGCAGCCATACTCTAATCACCCAGACAGATTCACTAATTATGATCAGGTCCTGAGTAAAGAGAGTCTGACTGGACGTTGTTACTGGGAGGTGGAGTGGATTGGGGACGGAGTTTGTGTAGCAGTTGCATACAAGAATATCAGCAGAGCAGGGAGCTTGAATGAATGTGGTTTTGGACACAATGACCAATCTTGGGTACTATATTGTTACAAAAACTGTTATGACTTAATGCACAACAGTGTCCAAACTCCTGTCTCAGGTCCCTGGTCTCCCAGAATCGGAGTGTACCTGGATCACAGAGCAGGTATTCTGTCTTTCTATAGCATCTCTCAAACCATGACTCTCCTCCACAGAGTCCAGACCACATTCACTCAGCCTCTACATGCTGGACTCAGGTTTTATAATGCTGAAGTCACTGCTAAGTTCATAAAACTGAAATACACTTAAGTCATTTGAGGCAGAGAACAGTGGGTTGATTTTAGTGTTTTAATTCATCAGCTTGATTATGTTCACATTTGTTGCTAAAAGCTGATTGTTATTGCATGTCGTTAATCACTGCACACATGTCACCTGTAACTTCAGCATTATAATTGATACTCTGTGTTGCTCTGTAAATAGTTTAGTTTATCTATTAGAAACTCCCTTCTTTCATGTGTAATGGAAATGTCTCTTCTTAACACATTTCTGATCTTTTGACCCTCTGTAAAATGCTTCCAAGCTAATGGAAACCCTTCCAAATCACAGTCAGTAAAAGTATACTAATATCATTCCTGTGTGAGACTATTGGTAAACCAGGTGTCTATTCCACTACGTTTCTAATTTACGTCCATCCTTCCACTTAGGGAGGGTTTACCATCTGAATATAGCAAAGGTGTAAAGGTGCTGGGAAACAGTTTTGTATCTTGTCAAAACTCTGTGTTGATCCTTTTTGCAAAAAGCCTTTCAATAAATACAAAAGCCAAACTTTGTCGTTGTACAACTTACATTTTTCAGATACTCACCACCTCTGGGTGAAGCCATAAAGGCTGTCTGTGCTAATGATGACACGTGTTCTATTATCTGTGCAGTATCATTGCTGTTTCACTTATGTAAAGATGCAATCTAAAGGTTCATTTATATACACTTCTCGGTCAGACCCCCCCCCAATTGATAGAAAAATATACAATGCGGCACCTTAAAACATAAATTATAATAATCTAAAAACAACATAACACTCAGACAACCAGAATACTAATCAGAAAGCACAGAGGCTGAAGGCTGCAGGAAATATTATCAGACAAAAAAAAGTGATGGAGAATACGTTTTTATGCTCCTGATATGTGGAAGACACCGCATCTGAAAATCAAAGTAACAAACTCTCTGAATAATAAAATTTAAAACAATGTAAGACCTATCGTTTTAAACAGACGATCTTGGGAGAGTAAAATGATAGAAGATGTCTTGTTTTAAAGACTTTTACTGATTGGATCAAAACAATTGATCGTTTATTGGTGGGATGTTAGTCTTCTAAAAGGTCGGACTTATAGCTGCACATTAGAAATGTATCTCATTCATAAAAGTATCCACTGTTTCAGCCAATACCATTCTCCTTATTTGACTGTTTAGGTGTCGCTCTATTGTACTTAAAAAAAGAACGGCCTTTTTGCAGTTTCCACTAACGAGCCTCAGCCAGACTTAATAAATAACCTGATAATGACTGCAGAGTATATCAGTCAAAAATCCAAACGTCTCTAGTTGAGATATTTATATTCAGTGTTGCATCATTACTACAAAGTTTGATGAAACCAGTATTCACTTATTAGTGCCTGGACGATACATACTGTGTACTACTTCATTATAATTTCATATCAACCATTTATTCAAAGTTCACATTTATAAAGGTGTATCGACACATTTCCTAATGGTGGTGAAATTCAGTGGCACTCTGACGCCTCCCTGTGGTTTCTCAGATTTTTACAGCCTTGTATTGCAGGTGCTCACTTCAAGCTGCCTTCCCACATTAGTCTGCCTTCTCCTCCACAGAGTCCAGACCACATTCACTCAGCCTCTACATGCTGGACTGGGGTTTAACTGGTCTCCTGGAGACTCTGCTGAGTTGTGTAAGCTGAAGTAGACAGAATTCATTAGAGGACAATGTGTTAACATCTGTGTTTTTTTTCCATGTTTCTACAGAAAGCTGATTATACTTTTCTTCACTGCACATGTATACTACGGTACTTTGACGAAACCAGTTAAGCAAAATTTCTGGATTTCATAGGTTTCAATATCATATGTGGAAGTGTGACCTTCCTCTGACCTGTCGCTTTGAGCCCCCTAGTTTTCCTTGCACCACAGCAGACATGGACCTGCGTATAGTTATTCTGTTAACCTTTCACCCTTACACACGCAAGTCTTCAAAAGAATAAGGTAAACAGAAGTTTCCTCCTTCTCTTAGATTATTTCTTCTTTGTTTTGTTTTCAATGTTTTGTTTTGTTGTTCTTCTTTGTTAGGCGTCTCAGAGTATTCAGAGAAGCGCTATGTTATTATTATTATTAATGTTAAAGGTCAAATATTCTGTAAAATACACTTCACCATGTTTCTCTAACACTAATATGTGTCCCTGGTCTGTCTACAAACCCCCCAATGATGAGAAAAGTCCATCCTCTCTGTATTGTGCCTGCTCCACTTTTCAGAAAATGTGAGCTCAAACAGGTCGTTTGGAGATTTTCTCTTTATGACATCACAAAGAGCAGTAACACCTCCCCCAGGTGGGTGACACAGCTCATTTACATTTAAAGGTACAGACACAGAAACAGCCTGTTCTGAGCAGGGCTGAAATAGAGGGGTTTATAGGCATGATCGAATACAGGATCAGAGTGGATTTAGAACAGAAGACAGACAAGTTTGAGACTTATTTAAACATGTTGAAGAGGAGGAGAATATGTGACCTTTAAATCATGAAGGTTGTCAGTGCTAGTGATGACTTTTGTTCTCTTATCTGTGCTGTATCGCTTACCATCTACTATTTGTAAAGATGTAAAGTTTTGAATAAATTTGCATATAAAACTATAGTTCATTTGTTGAAATTTCTGTCAGACCAAATTAGCAGTAACCCCCCCAATTGATAGAAACATGTACAATGAGGCATCTTAAAACATGAATTATAATAATCTAAAAACATCATAACACAATACTAATCAGAAAGCACAGAGGCTGAAGGCTGCAGGAAATATTATCAGACAAAAAAAAGTGATGAAGAATATGTTTTTAACGCTCCTAATATGTGGAAGACACTGCATCTGAAAATCAAAGCAACAAACTCTATGAATTATAAAATAAAATGAATTAGATATATTTTTAAACAGACTTTTAGTGGAGAGTAAAATTTTAGAAGATGTCTTGTTTTTAAGACTTTTACTGATCAAAACCATTTTCAAACCAGGCTGTAAACATGTTTATTCATGCTGTAAAAACTGTTTTTTTGGCTGTGGTGTGCATGTGACTTCCTGGAGCCAGCCTCAAGCGGACCCTCGTCAAACTGCAGGACTTTCAAGGTTGCCACTTGGTATGAACGCTACTCTTATTTTAATACTTTAAACATGACAGTGAGGTTGAAAGTCCTGACAGAAAAACACATAAAAGTCTAACTGACTCACTCGTTCTTAGAGTTAGTCTCATCAGTTTTTCATTCAGTAAATCTATATGATGTAACTAAATCATTTTAGGATGAGTGTTTTATACCTGTGAAAGCATTCATGAAGGTGGACAGGGACCTGTTCAGCATCTTGAAGAAAGGGTCTCTGCAGGGATACTTCTCAGATCCACACAGCACTGTGTGCTCCAGGATGTGTGGGACCCCTGTGCTGTCCATGGGGGTCGTTCTGAACAGGACACTGAAATACAGAAACAAGTATAAGTGGAATTTCTTTAAGATACACCGGTTGGCTGATCTACATTTCAAATTCATACTGGGAGAATCTTTAACACAGGTAAAACATATAATCTAGTGTAGTAGTCAGGAGCACTCTAACCGAGACCAAAACATACCCGAGACCGGAGTGTGCCGAGGCCGAGACAAGACCAAGACATTTAGGGATCGAGGCCAAGTCAAGACCAGTACCAAGGCAGGACGAGACGGAGGCAAGATCAAGAGACGTTTTTCTTCCAATTACAGTAATGACTTTGAAAAATAGCCAATCAGTGGTGGTCTTGACTGGTCATGATTTAAAATCTAGAGTCCGCCCAGTCTGAGACCGAGAAAAAATCAATTCCGAGACAGAGAGCAGTCTCGAGACAGCTCTTGAGAACAATTTACTACAACACTACTACAATCATTTAAGAAAATTGAAGAAGTAGTATACACTTAAAACCAACCTAAAGAGGTTATTTGAGTCATCCCTGGCTGCATGGAGGTACTGAGCTCCAGTTTTATCGTGGGTCAACTTCACTGCGGTCAGGAACAAGTCAGGGACGGCAACAACCTGAAAAAAAACAACAAACAACGACAGAAAGAGCAACACCAGTTATCTTACATGAAGGCTCACGGTCTCAGTCAGAGAATTAGACCTCACATACACAACAAGGTCAATACAAATATAAAGATACAAACAATTATAAAACAAGATTTTCTTTTGAATTGCTGATCAACATGTAGAGCATTCGTCCACTGAATTAGCCTCCTGAGTGTTCATACAACATTTCTTTCAAAGCTTTTAATTGGCAAATAGAAAATAATCGGATGACATTGATTGAATTGAAGCATTTCACCCACCTCTCTGACTGTGAATCCATGGATTTTCTGTCCGGGTCGGTACTGACTGGCCCTCTCTATTGCTGAAGTGCTCTTTAGTCGCCAGGTACTCTGCTGCCCGTAGAAGCTGGGATGAAAAACAAAGGTTTAAGATAACAGGTAATAATAGAAAACACCTTGAAGAAGACAAATGAAGATCGATTTTTGATAATTTGCTGTATACTATTCTCACAGTGTAAAACAGCTGATTCCCTCATACACAACTTTCTGACAGTAAGTTTATATTTAAAGCAGAAACTTTAACTACCAGGGTGCAAGGAGAGTGAAGAGTGAAAAAGAAACAGCAGCACTTGTAGTATGAATATCAACTTTATTAGACAGATGCATTTTGACTTCATCACTCTTTCTTTCATTAGAAAACATATCCAAGCTGAGCATATTTACAGTAGAGACCATGTCAGTGAACTATGAGGGCAAAAAAATGAATAATTGTTCATTAATCATTTAGAGGACTTATGTCCCAGCAGGTTTTTATCTTCAGTCGTCCTGATTACTGTAACAGTGTCTTTACAGGTCTGCCTAAAACATCAGTCAGACAACTGCAGCTGATCCAGAACGCTGCTGCTAAGAGTCCTCACCAAGACCGAGAAAATGGATCACATCAGTCCAGTTCTGAGGTCTTTACACTGGCTCCCAGTCTGTCAGGGAACAGACTTTAAAATCCTGTTGGTGGTCTACAAAGCACTTAAAGGTTTAGGGCCAGACCTCCTGATTAATTACAAACCATCCAGACCGCTCAGGTCGTCTGGGACAGGTCTGCTCTCTGTCCCCAGAGTCAGAACCAAACATGGAGAAGCAGCGTTCAGCTTCTATGCTCCTTACATCTGGAACAAACTCCCAGAAAACTGCAGGTCTGCTGAAACTCTCAGCTCTTTTAAATCGAGGTTGAAGACACACCTGTTTACAGCTGCCTTTCATTAAACAGCTTTAATAAGACTTTAAACATTTACTCTGCACTGTAACTTTTAACTCTTTTTATATTTTTACTTTATTTATTTCAATTAATTTTATTTGAATTATTTTTACTTGAACATATTTTCAGACTTTATAAATCCAGTGTTTTTCTTTTTGTTTTTTTTTTATTATTAATTTTCTTTCCTCTGTCATGAAGCTTTTTGATGTCTTGTGTGAAGCACTTTGAATTGCCTTGTTGTTGAAATGTGCTATATTAATAAACTTGCCTTAAAATGTTAAATTAATCGTGATATTGATTTGAGGTCATATCGCCCTGCCCTGGTGAGGGGTGGTGGGGGCTTTAACATATCATTTATGTGCTATGGGGGGGGGGGGCATACCTAGTTATGATACCCCAGTAATACAATACCTTTAATATTGATAGTAGTACTAGATGTTTAAATGTAAAATGCTGAAAGAGATGACTTCTCATGTCATGTTGCATCATCAGAGCACATAATATAAGACGATATCAAATCATATTTCACATTCAGTAGATAAACAGAATTATTAATTAATGTATTAGACAGATGTATTTCGACTCTTCCTTTAGAAAACATATCCAAGCTGAGCATATTTACAGTAGAGAGACCATGTCAGTGAACTATGAGGGCAAAAAAAACAAATAATCGTTCATTAATCGCAATCGATTTTTTTTTCAATTAATCAATTAATCGAGATATTGATTTGAGGTCATAAGGCCCAGTGCTACAAGGGGGCGCCAAAGCACCGTTTCCTACATTTAAGACGATATCAAATCATATTTCACATTCAGTAGATAAACAGTGTGGTGATAATAAAAGGTGAATAACACTGAAATAAGATTCAAGTGATTAAACTACAGACTCTGTGACGTCATTGACTCACCTCACAGAGCGAAGTTTCTGGAGCACCGCCTTCGTCTGCCGAAACATGGCGCTGTCAGCCGCGTAAATAATCTAATAATATATCTACTGCCGACGTGTTCGGCTATAAAAACACACGGTATGAATTCAAAGTCGTCGGTAACGTCTCATTATTTAAGTCCAGCATCCCAGCTCCGTGTCCTCTCCTCTCCACGCCGTCCGTGACGATACTGTTGACACGTTGGGTTAGTTGCGTTCATAAAAAAATGGCGGCAACAACTGCGCAAATCGCCGATTTGAAAGTCATCTCCTGCGCAGTTGTGCTCGTCTCTCTGCTATACGACTCTACAAGGACGTGCTGAGCAATTTTTTTAACATCCGCAACAAGCTTAAACCTCGACCCGTAAACATGCTTGATTGTGATTGGTCAGAGCGGGAAGAAGACACGATGTGATTGGCTGTACGTCATGTCGCTAAGGTTACCAAAACCGTGACTGTCACAGGTCGTTTTTGAAGGGCAATACAATTGTAATGCGACGTTTAAAACTTCTGATTTCAGTATATTTAAGACGCGTTTAATGTAGGTTGAATGTTTAAACTATCTATAAAATTAACCTTTCGTTTAAGTGACGTTGAATGTAATGTAGCCTCTTGTCCAGCAGGTGTCGCTGAAAGATCGTGTTTAGATCGTTTCTTCCTCTGGATGTTCACTCTCTTTCAAAAGTAGACTACCACAAAAGAGGAAAATAAGTTGGCCTATCACTGAAACAAAACAGTTTATCTAAACAGGGAAAAGGGATGCTACAGTCCCCTTTATTTATTTATTTTTTTCAATTTTTTTATATGCACAATTCTCAAGATTGTCGCTCTGTGTTTCCAAAAAACATAAAAACTTGGCATTTTATTGCAAATAAAAGGCAGATAAAAACATTTACATATAGTCTCTGTAGCATGGTTTTTATTTGAATTAACCCATTGATTTCTCCAGGTTAGATTATCAAGTAAAAAATACTATTAGGCCTATAAGCCTTGATATTTGGCATTTTTTATTGTTATTTTAATCAAAACCTACTGCAACCGATTTGTGACTTATTGATCTTCTAGGACTAAAGGGAGAGTTGAAATAACTATTTTTATTATGACTTACCAGGAGTCTGTGCTCTATTATGAAATCGTAGGATGTCAAATCTTTTGTCAACTTTTTATTCAATCTCCTTTTATGATCTTTATTCCTCAACAAGTGAAGTATAGACTTTAAATAAGTGACACCTCGGAGGAGTCTTAAGGCACCCATTGGTCCACGATCCCCATGCTGGTATTTTAGCCTTGTGCGTCGCATGCTTAAACCCAAGAAGCAATTATTAAATTAATTTACATTGTGTAACATGTCAGCCGGACATTCGGAGTGGAAACTTTTAAAATAATGTTCTCAGTTATGACAACGTAAGGATGGTTTTCCTGTGGGGTCCAGCAAGGTGCAAAATAACTATACAGTAAAAAGTAAAGCATTCAACCTAAAACAAAGAGTTGCATATAAGCTGCGTTTTATACTTTTAAAACTCAGAGAAAAAGCAGTATCAGTACAAAGAGAGCTTGCCCTAAGTGCAGAGGTGACGTCCTTGCTGCGTCTGCCCTATGGGGTCAAATCCAGCCCTAGGCCCTTTTGGTGCATGTAATCCCCACTCTCTGTCCTAATATTTCCTGCCTCTCAAAAAAGGGCAAATGCTAGTCTGAGGATGATGCTGAGGTGAATTCTCTGCAAATACGGTGCAGCTTTGGCCTGTTGGGGCTCCATCCTTGGCTGAAGTAGCAAGTTTGTGCGAAACATTGTGAAAAAGAATCAGCAAACAGAATGAAAAGGAAGGTTATAAGGTACCATCTGATTGGTTTAAGCCTACACAACACATCAAACCGAGGTGAGATCTTAATATGGGACTAGAAAATATACATGTTGGAACCCCCCAGCTCTATTTGAAACTTGTTTCCCCCCCGCCTGCATTGACAGAAACAGTAGCTTTCCTTTTCTTTTCCCGTTTTTTTTTTTCTGTTTGAATTTCTTTTGAGGCACCCACGGTCATCCCTTGTGTTTCCACTGACAGCATGTGGGAGCTTTTCCAGCAGCATGAATAGGAGGCCTTGGTGAGGAGGCAGAAGAGGGTTTTTTTTTTTTGTTGTTTTTTTTTTTGTCGACAGAGCTCGAGCGTGCTCCTCCAACATGGTAGCTGGTTCCAGTCTGCCACTGTGTGCTCGTTATCAGCAGAAAAACCTTGATCACACAAAGCGAGGTGAAACAGTCACGCAGCAAAAATGTTCATCCTGAAAACGTGACTTTATGAAAAGCAAACTGTAGCCTTGAGATGAGCTCATTTCACTGGAATTCAACTTTTTTTTTTTTTCAAGGATTTCAAATTAAAACTGTGATTCAGGGATTTCATTTAAGGAGTTCTGCTTTTACAATATTCTTTTAAAATCGCACATAAAGCTAAACAACATACCTTCAATGTGGAGGAACATTTTGGCAGCATGCATCGTGCCTCATCATTAATTTGATGGGCAACCATAAAAGCAGGACATAATGCAAGGATGATCAATCAAACCTATAAAATAAAGTGATTTCAAAGAAATAAAAAACACTTTTATTGTCTTAGTTGTATTTCCACATGTGTGGTAAAGCGTGAGCTCACCAGAAATACAACTTTTTCTTGTTGTTTTGTCTCTCCAAACAAATGCACACACACATATTTTGGTGTTTATTGTTACATATGATTATGTTATGGTGTGAAAAGGAAATAGCAAACAACTTGAAATATAATTTTTTTTAATTTCATGCCGACTTTAAGGTCAACTGAAGGATTACAAACGTCTTTAAAAAGTGGAACAAACTCTCCTCTGTCTGCTCTTTAATCCCTTATTTGAATAAAGTAATAAATGGTAAAGCTTCAAACAAGGCTGCTCTTTAAAATTGGTATAGTTTAACATTGGGCAATATGGCCCCCCAAAAAACAATAAATCCAATAAATTAAACAATAATGGAGAATCCGTCCCTCTACACTCAGTGTGTATGGTGTTGTCAGGGGATATGAGTGCGTGGTGTTGATGTGCTTTCTCCTCCGGCTAATCCAAAGGATTTCTCAAAGGTCTGGACTGTCCAGACGCTGCTTCATCCAGGCTTAAGTTATCCGTCAGTGTCAGATGGAAAACAAAAACCCCGGCTTCTCACACTCTTCCTCACTATTTACTTTTTTTTTTAACAGCGTTCTTCTCCAGATACAGTTTGCCGCGTGAAGATGTTTCTTCCCTCTGCCACCATTTGTTTTTCGCTACATGTTCTTCCTGTTGTGTACGTCCTATAAACAAAAAGTTCACGTTTGTCTGGGGCTTGGATAGTCCCAAGGAGGTTTAGTTTTAATGCTACAGCACACAGCGCTAGTTTGGAAAATCTTCTTCCCGACTTTGCACAACAGTTTCAGTTCGACCCTTTTCTTGTGTCACCATGACGATAACCCCCCCCCCCCCGTTGGCTTGGAAAGGAATTAATTAGGCATGCAGACTCTTGAGATACATTTTTATCATGCATGGGAGCAAATCCCTGCAGCCAGGTTCCAAAAACCGGAGGCTATTATGGCAGCAGACTAATGCCAATGGTTTTCTGATTAAGATATTATTGTAAAGCTCAGGTGTTCGTGTAAACTTTGCCAACAAATTCTCCCTCCCGGTCGCTTGAATACAGCAGCTATAGGTCTAAAATATGAATATCGAGTCAGGTGTCCCACCTCTCTAGTTTTTTTTTTTTGCACTTAGAAAGCTCTGCACTCAAGTTAGCAAGGACTGATAAGCGATGTCTGGCCAAGCTGTGAAGATGAAGATAGAAAATAAGCAACATCTTTAAAGGCTTTATATGTGATTTTTTGATCCAGCAGGTGTCGCCCTTGAGCTCCAGCATGAAACAAAAACAACTCGCGGTGCATTGTTGTATTAGCATGCTAATGCTAGCGATCTTTATTATGCTGGTATCTTCACACTGCATGTAAATTTACCTGAAATGAGCGTGATCTAGAAACACAGTTAAGCAGTGAGTACAGTATGTTATTCTTCTTTTCTCTAGTCCCTCAATTAAACAACTTTTATACACGAGGGGAGGAGTCAGCCGGCCGTCCCGGCGATGTAAACAAAGTGAAGATAGGACTCTGAAAACTCTGAAAACATCACAGACAGTGGGACTCGGGTGTTACACCCATTGTAGACAGTCATGACTCACAGAGTTATTTTCAGTTATACTTGATTTATATTATATTTAAGTGTGAAAAATCCTTTAAGACATCAAAAATAGCTTGCTTGCATGCATTTTAATTTTCCCATCTTCTAGCGTTTCCATCATCCGCGCTTGTAATGCAAACACAGTCACACGAGCTGGCATTTTTGTTTTGCAGATCAGCCTTTTTTTTGTTTATCACAAACAACGCCCCTCCCCTCCTCTCTTTATCGCTCCTCTCTCAAAGGGCACATTTGAAATTTGGAGGGGAAAAAAAAATAGATCATCATGGACTGTTTACTTAACACTGGGCCCATCTTTTTTTGAGTCTCTGCCTCCCTCAATCAAGACACCGAAAACACCAAAACTCCCTCTTCTATCACGGGGAAATAATAACTGATTGGGACCATGGATGTTTGCATATTGACTTCAGTATTTCATCGGGAGGAATGAGCTGTAATTTTGAAGAATTGGACAATATCCAGCGACATTTTTGCCTCCCTGTGTTTGGAAACATGTGGAATGAAGTTTGATTGTGGCTGTTTCATTAATTCATTTATTCCGTCTTTATTTAATCTCGATTAATGACGAGGGCGCTCATTCACAACGATGTCGCGAGTAGAATTTAATCGAAAAGATGATAAAAACAACAAATACAAAATACATAAATTACAAGTTACAGGAACATAAGCAACCACAAAAATATAATTAAAACAGTTCTACTCATGAGCAGTGATTTGTAGTCCTATTTTCTTATTTGGACCAAACATGTCATATTGTCGTAAGACATTTGATCTTTTAATGTACGTGCTTCTTTTGTCAAAGACATTAAGGCAGAAAAAAAGCAGCTTTAAAGGTCCACTCTTCTTTTCTGCATGCGCCCTAATCAGCTCATGGCAGCGCTTAGCGAGATGAAAGGAGTTCTGCAGACATATGCTGCAAGTGCAACTGAGGTCAAACCATGTCTGGACGTACTTCACGATAGTTGGTGTAAAAATCTGTTATGCAGAGTCTAATTAATACCGACATGATGTGAAATATTGACTTGCTTTCAGAGTGCGAGTCCCGCAGGGCACCTTGCTTGGCCACTCGCCGATCCGACACGGCTTTGCTCTTT